AGGAAACCTGATGCATCTAGACATCAGGATGCTTCCTCTCAGGATGATCCCACACCCCCAGAGGCAGGTCCTGTCCTTCCCTACAGGACTTAGTGTCACCTGCTGCTCCTGTGAGCCCTGCACAGCCTTCATGTTGGGACTGTTTTTCTTCACAAAAGAAGTTCTGATGGGAAATGCTACAAAGTCATGATAAGTAAGAAAGGGAAATGAGAACTGTTTGTAATATTCTCTATTCACTAAAAAGACTAACAAAAAACAAATGCCTGATACTTGTTATTGTTTCATAACAAGTAGTGAAATAATTTCATTGTTTCCATTATTAAAATGGAAAGGTGAGTGTAAATTGTAAGAAATTAGATACTTTACTTAGTAAAAAAATTTGGAATGTCTTATAATCTTTTATTTTATTAATCATGCCCAAATATCCACGCATAGTAAGTAACATGCTTTATTTTATTTTATTTTATTTATTGTCTTAAGAGATAGAGAGAACAAAAGAGAGACAAATAGAGAGAGAAAGGGAGAGAGAGAGAATATTGTTGTTCCACTTATTTACCCATTAACTAGAGGCCTGATGCATGAAGATTCATGCAATAATAGGCCTTCCTTCCCCTGGCTGCCGGCACTGCCTTCGCTCCAGAGGGAGCAGCCTTTCTACCTTCCCACGCTGCCCAGAGGCCCGGAGCTGCTGGGCTGGTGTGGAATGCCTGAGTCGTTTTATGGCAACAATTCAAGCACCCTGCCCCACCCCGGCTGCTTGGCGCCAGTGTATGCAAATTAACCTGCCATCTTTGTTGGGTTCATTTGCATAATCACGCCTGATTGGCTGGTGGGCATTGTGAAGGTATGGTCAATTTGCAGCTTTCTCTTTTATTAGTGTAGATTGGTTGATTCTTGTATGTGCAATAACCAGAGATTGAACTCGCAACCTTGGTGTATCAGGAAGATGCTTTAACCAAATGAGCAAGCCAGCCAGGATGTAAATAATGTGTTTTTAAAGGATCAAGTAACATTCATAATAGAGGAAACATTGTTATCTGTAGCATGAATGTAATGGTGAACTGAAAAAATGTCATCTGTATTATCATTATAATAATAAAATGATTAACATTGAATTTTTAAAAAAAGGGTGCATTTAAGTGCCATGTCATCTCTGGAAGTGTCACTCTTCCCCAAATAGTTCTGCTTTCCACTCTCTGGCCTCATGGAGTGTCGAACTTCTAGACCAGTGGTCCACAAACTGTGGCTCATGAGCCACATGTGGCTCTTTGGCCCCTTGAGTGTGGCTCTTCCACAAAATATTGACTTCTGTGCATGGACCACAAAGTTTCAATCGCACTGTACATGTGCGTCCGCATGTGGTATTTTGTGGGAGAGCCACACTCAAGGAGCCAAAGAGCCGCATGTGGCTGAGCTGCATGTGGCTCGCAAGCCGCAGTTTGCCGACCACTGTTCTAGACCATTGCCAGGTGGGATCAGGAGACTTCCTTAGACCACTCAGTTGTGAGCAGAGATAATGGCTGTGTTTTGTGGTATTTGCATTTAACTGCAAGAATCACTATGGATCAACTTCCGTTTCCCTGGAGACCCACATGTCATGATGGGGTCAAGTTCATCAGCCTGGGTACTTGAGTGGCAGTGACGTGCAGAGCTCCCAACACATTGTGAATGTGTCATTTAAATTAAAAGTAAAACAACGTTTTAAGTTCCTCAGATTTTTTCACATAGCAAATCATGTTATGCAAGAGGCCCAGTGCACAGCATTCTGCACAACCTGGGGCAGGGGGAGATCCCTCAGCCCAGCCTGCACCCTTTAGCTGTCTGGGAGCTCTTGGGGTATGTCCAACTGGTGGACATCCTTAGTGCTGCTGCAGAGGTGGGAGACGCTCCCACCACTGCCACTGCACTTGCCAGCCTTTAGCCTGGCTTGTGGCTGAGCAGCACTCCCCCTGTGGGATTACACTGACCACCAGGGGGCAGCTCCTGTATTGAGCATATGCCCCCTGGTGGTCAATGTGCATCATAGCGACTGGTCCTTCAGTTCAGCTGTTCCATCAATTTGCATATTACCCTTTTATTATACAGGATTAGTTTCCTAAGGCTGATTTAAGAAAATACTTTAAACAACAGAAATCTGTTTTTTTATAGTTGTGGAGGTCAGAATCCAAAGTTGGTGCTACTTTGGAGTAAATTAAAGGTGCGCTGAGCTATGTTCCTTCTGGAGGCTCTGTTCTCTGCCTTTCCAAATTCTAGAGGCTGTCAGCATGCCTTTCCTCTTGTTCCACATGTGCCTAGCACTCCAACCTCTTGCTTCCATTGTCACTTGCTCTTCTCTAATTTCAATTTTTTACTACCTTTTTGTAAGGACCTTTGTGATTCTATTGTGTGTACCTGATAATCTAGGATAATCTATAATAATAAAAGCATAATATGCTAATTAGACTGGATAGCTGAACGACCTTCCAGATGTCATTCCGGAGTCCTTCCAGGATGAAGCTGTGGTGGCAGAGGGCGAGGCAGAGGTGGTTAGGGGCAATCAGCCAGACAGGCAAGTGGTTGGGAGAGCAGTTAGGGTGATCAGGCGGGTGGGAAGGTGAGCAGTTAGGAGCCAGTGGTCCTAGATTGTGAGGGGGATGTCCAACTGTGATTCTGACTGCCAGAATTGGGCCTAAACTGGCAGTTGGGCATCCCCCGAGGGTTCCCGGATTGCAAGAGGGTGCTGGCCAGCTGAGGGCCACCTCCCATCCCCATGCACGAATTCTGTGCACTGGGCCTCTAGTATTTTTATATCAACAGTCTTATTTTAATCATTTCTCCAAAATCTCTTTTACCATATAAAGTAAAATATTCACAGGCTCTGGGTATTAAGAAACAAACTTCTTTTGTGGGGTGGGGTACATTGCTCTGTTTACCACACACATCTCCTCTGACTGTTATAGAAACTGCTATAAATAAAAACACCTATGCATGCGGCATTGTCACAGAGTATGGATGACAAGGCCATGACTGGAATCTACATAAGAACTATTCAAGCAGTAAACTGGGGGAGCAATTTGCAAAATACAACTAGAAAGCAATCACAGAAGGAAAATAAAGTCCCCACAAATAAAAAGAAATCAAGCAGTACCCTCCCTCCCCCCAAAATCAATGGCTCGAAGAAGGAATCACAAGAGGAAATAGAGAATACCTTGAGGAAAGTGAGAGTGAAAACACCACACATCAAAACATATGATGCAGACAAAGCAGTGCAAGAGGAAATTTATAGCTGTGAATACATACATTTAAAAAGAGAAAAAATCGTAAAACAATAACATATTGTATATCAAAGAAATTTGATAAAGAAGGGAAAAATAAACCCTAAACTAAAGTAGCAGAAGAAAGAAAATAATAAAGTTTAGTGCAGAAGTAAATAAAATGTGAATTAAAAAAAAAACACAGAGAAAATTAAAAAACCAAGAGATGGTCTTCAAAAACTTCCACACAATGAACAAACCTTTAGTTATGTTGACTAAGAAAATAATGGAGAAGATGCAAATAAGTAAAATCAGAAAGAAAAGAACATTCCTAATAATTTTACAGAAACAGAACTTAGTTTCATTTTTATAAGATACAGTGGTGATGAACAATCCAAAAATGAAATTAAGCAAACAATTCTATTATCTTTCTTCTTCTTCTTTTTTTTTAATCCTTACCTGAGGATATTTTCCATTGATTCTTAGAGAGAGTGGAAAGGAGAGGGAGAGACAGAGAGAAACACAGATGTGAGAGAGACACATCAATTTGTTGTCTCCTAAATGCCCCTGACCAGGGACCAGGGCCTGGAGCTTGTAACCAAAGTACATGCCCTTGACTGGACTAGAACCGGAGGCCCTTCAGTCCCCAGGTTGATGCTCTATCCACTGAGCCAAACCGGCTAGGGCAATGGTTGGCAAACTGCGGCTCACGAGCCACATGCGGCTCCTTTCCCCCTTGAGTGTGGCTCTTCCACAAAATACCACGTGCAGGTGTGCATATACAGTGCGATTGAAACTTCATGGCCCATGTGCAGAAGTTGGCAC